TGCCACGCCTCAGTGTGCCAGATGTTAAGGTTCACTGACACGTTCGCGGGCCGTTCGTGTCGCCGTCTCCTGTTTCAGGGAGACGCCAAGCGAGGTTCGCCGCCCCACACACAACCCGAACATGGCCCAGGAGATGAGGGGGCGGTGTGCGCAGGTCGTTGTGACCAACGGGCCAGTCGGCTCGTGAGATCTTGGTAACCCCTCTGCAGTATACCCTAGCGTTTGCACACGCACCACGGACGGTAGGTGCGGTGGTGGATTGAAGTATGGGCGAGCTCGGACATTGGATGATGCTCGCGCTTTCTAGGGGAAGGACGGGCTTCGTGCAGCGGCCAATTTTCTATGCAGGTTTGTCCGCTAGCAAACATACTAGCGACACGTACTTGTTTTTTTCGACCCCGCAATTACCAGGACGACATGCGGATCGTGAGGTCGTATTTGAAGTGCGTTGCGCACATTCGCACACGAGATAACCCTCACCTGCATGTCATTCTTACCTGTTGATACTGACTGGCCAGTGCATGATTCAGGCAGTGCGTAGTTTACCTTATTGTTTCTCAAACGGTTTGGTTCAGCAGCGCTCCTGCGAAAGGTCATTGGCTGTTTTGCGGCATGCCCCCTCGCCTGCAAGGTCCTCCGGGGGGCAGAGCTGTTGTGGCGGCGCGCCGTGATTCCGCCTCCACCTGAGTCGATGTGGAGTATTTTGCAAGGACAGGCCACGGTGGATTAACGTGGGTGGCTGGAGCTGATTTGTGCTGGAGTCTTGGATCATTTTTTGGATGGCTTTGATTTTTCGGGATCGTTCGATTTGTGTCATTTGTGTTTTCCGTCGGTGCTTTGTTCTATCGTCTATCGTTGCCATTCCGCTGCATCGCTCGCATGCTGGATCTAATAGAACTAGGAGTCAGTGACCGCGTAGCGGCAACGCTCTGGCTCAGTTGCACTTGCCTTCTCTATGCTGCCAAAGTATCGCTGCCTCTCTCGAGTCCTGGCTGGCGTGCATCACAGCTCTGCTGATCGTTTTCTTGTTGCTTTGCATCTGTCCCGGAGAGGTATCCAAGATGCATGGGCGCCCGCAGCGGTGAGCCGCCCTTCTCATATTGCTCGTGACTTGGTTTCGTTCTTTTCTGTGGCCTCTTGCTTGCAACTGCCTACCATCCTCGGAACGGTTGTCGTGCCAGGGCCGCAGGGGTATATAGTCGCGCGCAACATGTTTGGCCGAAGGCTAAGACCTGGCTTGCGTGGCGGTATCGAGTCTGCTACGGCGGCTGCATCCCCTATCCCAGTTTGGCTCTTGGGTTCTGACGGTAGCCGTCTGACGTCCACACCAGGGTGTGTCCCAGACCGATCCAGATGCATTCCATGCTCGCTCTGTCGGAGTGGTGCGTGCCATGTCCACTCAATGGTGTGCCCTCGGGCCAGAACACGTGACAGTGGTCTCGGGTTCTCACGAGTCGAGGTCTGCCAGGTCCAGAACTTTTGGCAGCGGCGTAGGATTCCCGTTCTATTCTGGGTCTCGTAGTTTCAGGTGTGCAGGATTTTTCGAATTCCAGGTCTCCCGTGTCCAGAGTGTGCGGCAGGGATATCGTATTCTGATGCTCCAGATGTCCTGGGTCCAGAAAGTGATCCAGGGGGCATGGGTTTCTCGCGATTCCAGGTTTCCCAGGTCGACAGGGCACTGCAGGAACATGGGATTCTCGCCGTTTGAGGTTTCCCGGGTCCAGAGCAGTGTGGCATTGGCGTCGCATTCTACCAGGAGGGAAAACAACACACAGACACAATTAACCGTCGATTCCCCAGAAAATGTGGGACAATATGGGAAGTGGGGGGGAAGACAAATACCCAGAAAATATTGGAAAATATGGGGAATCCTTTTATTTGTGTGTATTTATTTGTGTGTTCCAGGGCCCCTTTCATTCTGATCGCTACAGGCCTCCCACGCCCAGGGCGTGGCATGCTCATCATCAACTTCTCACCTTACAGGTCTGCCGGGTCCAGGGAGTGCGGCAGGGGCGCAGGAGCCTCCGCATTCCAGGCCCCCCGAGCCCAAAGAACCATTCGGGTTTTCCCGAATCGTTCGTGCTTTGTGAGATCCGCACTGGGACGATACCTCAAGGGGCGGCACATCAGATATTCTACCTCACACTTTCCGCTCACTCTTTACATGTCGTCCATCTCTCTCTCTCTCTCTCCAGTTGCGCTGCCGAGCACAACCGTGTATCGCTTGAACTTGGAGCAGGATCTTGCGGCCGCGACCTCAACGCCGACTCGGGGTCAAGTTCGCTTCGTGGCACTCGGATGCCGGGCACACCTGTCGGATTGGAGCGGGGGAACAAAGAGGGATACCGAGATGTCCGTCAGCGTCTTCGTAGCCCTCTCCAGGAGATGGATGGTCTCGACTCCCCAACCACCCCCAAAGTTCATAACATCGCATCCCCCTGGAATGAGCCAGCAATTACGATGTCTGCTTTGCGGGCCCTGTTTGATGAGAAGCTCAGCCTCTCAAAAACGATGTTAAGGACAAAAGGACATGAGCATTCTCAAGAACCAAGTGCCCGGGAAGGAGGAGATGATGAACCCGAACATCGATAACGTTTCAGCAGACCTTGCTGAGTTTAAGTAATGTTGCGAATAATGTTGTTCATCTGTTGAAGTTGTGACCACGCCTGAAAACGTGAAGGTTTGGTTGCAGGATCTTCAAGACAATGTTGACAAGGAGAATACATCCAGGGCTCCCCCGAAAAAACTGCACGGTCTTTGCTCACTTGTCATTGGTGTTTTGGATTCCTTGGTGAGTTTTGATGGGGCCAAAACATGGGTCCAAGATGCACTATGGACTTCGTGGGCTCCGACCATCAGATATTCAGATCAAGGGTGACTTGAAAGGGCTTGTCTTTGCAAAATTCGGTTCGCAGGCGGTGAGGGGCCAGGCCAGTAAGATCATGTGCAAATCGACAGTTGGAAACAAACAGGTAGGGGGCATTGCCTTTGAAACAAAACGCATCATGTCAAAATGGGGCTGGTCACGGTCAGAGCTTAATGTTGATTGGGACCCTACCTCCACCGTCGGCAAGGTGAGCTTGTCCGGTGGCCTCGTGTTGCAGGTTGTTTTCGCCAACGGGGCTCGGAGTATGGCCCAGAGTGGGAAAAATGCATTGTCACGGATGAGCATCCCGAGTTCCGCGACATGCTCTGCGATAACAGGGACAAAGCAACCAAAGGCGGTGGCAAAAGCAAGGCGAGGGGTGGCGAGGCCACGCGCCACCAGGGAGCGCTCCGGTCGAATCGAGTTTCACCCCGTGCGCAATATGGGAATCTACACGTGTATTGTAAAAACGCTAGGTTGGGTAATCCAGCGAGGATTGCGGAATCAATGGGTGAATTACACACCGTATTGTGGGACGTCGTTCTGTTCAGCGAAATCCATGTGCCTTCGTGTAACTTGGATCTGGAAGACGGGCATGAACTCTACGCGCATCTTGCCGGCTGCTCTTCGGCGGGAGTCGCTATTCTTGCTTCGTCCCGTCCCCAATTTCAGTAGTTTACGGATGTATTCAGACCGGAGTATTGTTTTGAATGATCAATTTTGTGGGCGGCCATTCACGTCCATTGCAACGTATTTGCCGCATGCGGGCTATCCTGTTGAAGATTTCACAAAACAGTTGACCAGCTTAGTGCACCATGTCTGATGCTTCTCGGTTCGGAGCAAAAATCGCTTGCGGTGGGGATTTTAATGCCCAGCTACGCCATGGAACACGGGGTTAGCAGTTTGACCAAATGGTGTCTTCCACTGGCTTGCAGGCGGCGAACGAGTCCGACGAACTTGGCTTGGAGGACACATGGACATTCAAGAGTTGTCTTGGGCACCGACGCCGGCTCGATTTGAGCTGTTTGGGCGGAACTCACATGCCGGTCTGGCGACCCGCCCCCGAAGGGGCGCAAACGAACCGTCAGAGGATGGGCCCCAGTTGACGCCGAGAGCGTGTGCCAATTGGATCACGCGGCTCAGGAATCGTTTCCACATACTCTAAATGATCTAGAAAATGTTGTTCGAGAAGTCGCCAACGAATGTGGCAGTGGCCCCAACGGGGCGAGGAGCGACAAATTGTGGATCGATGCTGTGTTCCAGTCCTTGCTCGCGCAGCGACGTTCGTGTTCAGGCGCGCAGGTTCGCGGGGAACTCCCCGAGCAGATCCGGCAGCGGGCGCGCAAAGAGATTCGGCGGTGCAGGAACGACGGGGCTGATCATGTTCTCCGGGAGCTCCATGTCTGCAGGTCTCATCGGCGGACGTCTCGACGCAACAGTTTGCATATTTTCTCTCTGATAGTTTTGTCTATGATGGGGTGCGCGACGCAGGCGTTTACTCGATGACTGAATATTTGCAGCGGCGCCGGCAACGGGGGTTCGAGGGTGCCCCTGAATTCCGTATGTCAGATGCGCTGCCAGATGAATTCCGCATGCCAAATACGCTCTGTGTAAGATGCGCTGCCAGAAATGCCAGGGCGAGTGCGGAGTGGTGGTGGGCATGTGCCAGTGCGCATCTGACGCAGCATTGAGGCTTGTGCTGACACTGTTCGACAACATCCTGCCGACGGGCGCCGTCGATCAGCGCTGGCACGGCAGTCGTTTTGTGATGTTTCTGAAAAGAGGAGACAGGGGCCAAACCCGCAACTGGCGCCCCATCGCCATGTTGCGGACAACGTATGCTACATGTTCATAAAAGGTGGCATACTAAAGGCGCAGATGCCACCTTGACGCGAAGCAGCCGCCAAACTAAGTAGGCGTCCGGAAGTGGCGCTCAATCAGTGACGCTTTCGCCGCGACGGGGAATGCGCGCGGCAAATCCATCGAGGGGGACATTCCCCATCGCGTTGCAGCAAGTTTCGATCTGAAGAAAGCTTTCGACGCAATGGGGTCTCTTGCTCTGTTCGAGGCCTTGCGCGCGCAAGGCGTTGGCCAATCGAGCGCGGCTCTACCGGCGAGGTTGTGCAATCGCCAGGTGGGGCGCGCGAGTGGCTCGCGTCGCTCCGGCATTCGCAGCGGCGTCAAGCAGGGGGGCGCCATCAGCCCCATGCTGTTCTGCGCTGGCCTGGAGCTCGCGCTCTCGAGGTGGAAGCTCTCTCTTCGCAGTCGTGGGCTTGATGTGGGCGGCGGGTCCTGCGAGAGGCTCCCCCGTGGCGAACTGTGCGACGTGGTAGAAATCCTGCGCGTTGAACTCCGCCGGGTCGGCATGGGCCTCAGCGCCGCGAGTGCTACAGTCATGGCGGCGGAGGACCGCCCCAGGCCGGCGCGTCGAGATCGGCGACGACATCTTCGAAACTCTGTTCGGCAGCGATGTCGCTTATATTTGGGAAGGAAATTGCCGGGGCCCCATCGTCGACGCGCTGGCGCTGAGATGCCGCGCCGGCTCCAGGCCGCCCAGGGCAAGTTCCATGGGTGGTGGGGCATTCTTACCGATGGGCAGTTTTCCATCCCTCGCCGCCTTAAACTTCTCGGTTCCGTCGCGAAACCTACGGTCCTGTTCGGTCTGCCAACGCTTGCCCCGACGATGCGCCTGAAGGAGCAGCTGGGCGTTCTTCAAGGACGCATGCTGCGCTTGATTGCGGGCTGGGCGCGGCTCGACGACGAAGACTGGAACGTTGCGATGTGTCGAATGAACGACCAAGTCGACAGAGCTCCGTCGTCTTACCCAGTTCAGAGTTGGCGGGGAATGTTGGCCCACCTGCAGTGCAATTTCGCCGGCCAGCTTGGACAGTAACCCGACAGCTGGGCGCGCCGAGTATCGGATTGGAGCCCGCCCGCCACTCATGGTGCGTCGCCTCTCGAGACCGGAGGACATGGCGAGCGCGGGCCGATGGCTAGGCGCAAGACTTCTGGGATCAATTCTGCATGCCAGTTGTCCATCGTTCACAGGAAGGTATAGTTCTCTGCTTTCCTGGGCAGTCACGCGAAACGACAATCGGATTGGGACTGTCATCGGAGCGAACGAATGCAATCGCGGCGTCGGGCACCGTTTTGAACAATCCTGGGCCTCAAGGCCTGACGGGCAAGCAGCATCGTGCTCGAATGGTGTTGGTTTATTTTTGCGTCTGCGTGGCTTCAGCGGTTTGCGGAGGAGCTGTCGTGATTTTGGTCATCCCTGGACGGCTTCAAACGCGCGCGCGTCTCTGCGCCGTGCCTCCGATTCCAGTGCGTTTGCGCGCGAGACGGACGACTGCGCGTGCGCGCTTTTGTGTGTGTGTGTTTGTGTGTTTGCGTGTTTGTGTGTGTGTGTGCGAGTGCGTGTATTTGTGTGCATGTGTGAGTGCTTGTGTGTGTGTGTCTGTGCGTTGTGGCTCGCAATTATGCGTTTCGATCTGCTGCCCGCGCTTGAGGATATTCTGCGTCACCGACGCGAAAGTGTGTTCTGTCTCCGCTGTTTTGCTGCGTGCGTGATCGCGACGCCCAAAGTGTGTGCGCGCGTGTCTGTGCGCGTGTGCGACCGTGGCCCTGGCTCAAGCCTGGCTCAAGCCGCTCTGGCTCAAGGTGGCTTGCGCATCCTGGCCAGCGGTCGCACCGGCGGGCCTCGCCATGGAGGCCGCGGCGCCGCGGCGGCGGTGCCAGCGGGCGGCCGCCTGGGCGGCCCGCGTCGCGCGCGCCGCCGGCTTCGCGCGGGCTGCGGGCGCCGCCCGCGCTGCGGGCGCCGCGGGCGCCAGCAGCACGCGGGCGCCTCTGGCGCCGTCGGCGCCGCTGGCTCCGCGGGCGCTGCGAGCGCTGCGGGCGCCGAACCTCGCCGTTGCCGCGCTGCCTTCGACGCGGCCGAGGCTGCGGCGGCCGCCGGCCTCTGCGCGGCCGCCTGCGCCCTGGCCGGGGCCGCCGCGCTGGCCGCGCGGGCGGCCCGCGCGCGCGACGGATTATAGCCGCGCGACCATGAGCAGCACGATGGGCTCCAGCAGCGCGCACCCGTGCAGCAGGATGAACTCCAGCAGCGCCATCGTGAGCAGCATGACGCGCGCTGGCAGCACCATGGCGAGCAGTTCGAGGGTGCTCCAGCAGCACCCTCGCCAGCAGCATTGCGGAAACCACCAGCACGGCCAGCGGCAACATGGCGGGCTCCAGTCGGGGTCTCAATTCAAGAGGAAATTCCCGATTTAGCAGCGTCAGCATGAGCAGCTTGGCGCGCAGCGCGACGCCGACCAGGAGGTGGATGAAGAGGTGCGGCATGAGCCGGAGGAGGTGCAGGGGGCCGAGGTTGACGAAGGTGGCGGCGGCGTTGGCATCGTGGTGGTGGAGGTGGAGGTCGAGGAGATGGCGGACGAGGAGGTGGGGGCTGCGCCTGCGCTGCTGTCGTCGCCGCGGCTGGACTCTCGGGGAGTCGGAGACCCTGGGCGTAGACCCGAGTCTGCTGCGCATGACGACGTGCCTGGACAGGGATCTGAACAGAACCCAGCCAGTGGGCAGATCTGGCGGAACGACGGCACGCAGTCGGCCACTAGGACCGACGGCCGATCTGCGACGCCGCGCGCCCGGCATCACCCAGACGGCGACCCATAGACCAGGTCCACCGAGCTCACTACGGCCAACTCGCGCGCTAAATATGGGTGCGCTATTTTTCGGGGCGTGTCACATGTGACGGCCACTTGCGAGAATAATGACGTCAATTCTGGACATGCCCTGTAGTCTTCTCATATCGTGCTGGTGTCGGTGCGCCGTCTGCTTCTTTATGTTGGGCGTGTGCCGCGACACTCTTCGCTCTCGCGCGCGAGTTCTGGTTGTTGCTTGACGCTCTGCGCGTGTCGAATCGAAAACTCCAGGGCCTATGCGTTGGCTTTCTTGGGCGGCAGCGCTCAGGCGATGCCCCGCCGGGCCCAGCCGACGCCTGCTGTCGCGTGGGCTTTTGCCAGGCCGGTCGCGACGACACGTCTGCTGCAGTCTTATCCAAGCCACGGACTTGTCGCTTCCTGCTGCGCCAGTCATCCGCGCGCCGATGGGCTCGTGCGACCTCGCCCGCTCTGTGCTCTCGCCGTCGCCCCGCGGCCTCCTTCGAGAGAAGAGGAGGGGGCGGGGCGGGTTGCCGGCCGCGCCGGCGGGGTCGGCAGGCGCAGTCCCCCAGGGGCGGCGTCACTCGGGCGATGTTGATGCCGCTTGTCGCCTCGGTCTGTTCACGTTGTTCTTATCCTGACTGCTGGCGGGTCTGCGCGCCGTGACCAGCCCGGCGCGGGCACCTGCTTCCTCGGGGCTTGCCGACCCAGGCGCGCGCTCGCGCGCGGGCGCGCGGGCGAGGGCGCATAGCGAGCGCCGCGGCGCGCGGAGGAGAAAACAGACAGCGAGATCATGGCCTTCTCAGCAGCGGAGGGCGAGGGTGAGGAGGAGGGCTGCGGCGACGCTGTTTGGGCAGGCCGTCGGAACCAACAGACGGGCCGTCCTAGTTTCAATGTCTCTTCTTCTTTGGCTCGAGAATCCTTGCATTCTGGCGCCGTCCCTCGTCGAAAACATTGTGTGTGATGCTCGCGGCAAGTTGCTTGTTTTAAGTGCCGGCCTACGCCGTCGGCGTTAGGTCCAATTTGCCTTCGCGGGGGGGTGCAGTCAGTCGCTGCTGCCCGCGTTCCCCCGCCCCGCCTGGTGTTTTTTTTTCGAGGGGGGGTACCCCCCACGTTTTTCGGGCGATGCGTCCTTGCGGTCGGGCCGCGCACGCCGTCCACGCTACTCGCCTATTGGCGCGGGGATGCAATGGTTTCCCGGCGCAGCTTGGGGTGTTCATTCCATTGCGTTGCATGGGTTTCGGTTTTTCGAGTGCATCCGTTGCTGCGTTCTTCTTGCCAGCGACAATTGTCATCCAGTCCACCCATCAGCTGCGCCAGTTGGTAAATCGCTTAAGCGTGAAGGGTCAGCACCTCTCCGTTGGATGACATACGCGTGGTGTTTGGCTGGCCGTGCCCCGGCAAACTGCCGCATGGCTCACTTCTCTCGTTCTGTGCCATATGCAACATACGGTTGCGCGCCCGACGTTGAGTTTTTAGTCCGGAACCTTGCGCCATTCCGCCGACCCCCAGAAGAGGCGAGGAGTCCATGAGTGAGGCGTTGTGCGCTTCTTGGGCACTATCTGGGGACTCTTGTTGGCGTCTCGGGAGCTGTTTGGGGGCCTGGTGGAGCCGCTTAGAAGCAGTTTGAAACGTCTTGGGGGCCGTTTTGGGGCATCTGCTGGGCTTCTTGAGATTTGTTGGGGGCCTGTTGTGGGCCGCTTGGGGGTTTTTTGGGGCCTTCGGGGGGCTTATTGGGGCGGAAAGAATTTTCGGTTCGTGTTCTCCCTCTTGGCCTGTGTGGGCCTCCTTGGGGCGATCTTTGTCTGTTTTGGGCCCTTCTTTGGGCCGTATTGGATCCCTCTTGGGCCGTCTTGGGGCCCTCGTAGGGGCCTTTTGGGGAGTTGTGGAGCGGTGTACGGGAGCGTACCAATTTGGAGAAAACGATAGCTCCAGAAATATTGAAGCATCGATGGGGGACCATTGATTCTCCTGGGGTCAGGCTCCTTCCTGGGGCGTCTCAAAAGCGTCTTGGGGCGTCTTGGGGCCATCGTAGGCGTCCTGGGCAAATTGTTCGGCGATTCGTTGAAGCCCCAGAGTCTCCAGGATTGCGCTAGGGAGCCCAGCTGCCCACCCAAGGAGCCCACATGCCGCTCCCCCCCTTACACGAAATTTCGGACCCTGGGGCAGGGGGGCCGGGGGGAGGGGGGGACAGCCAATCATCGCACACGCCTTCTCACCCATGGCAAGCGGGCGTCGGCGGACTCCGTGTGCACGTGCACGATCTTCCACCACTGGCTGCGATGTTGGACCCCGCCGCCACGCGCCCACGCCTCGGCGTTTTTCTGGTGCCCGCGACTCGTCTCGCGCAGTCCACCCCCCTGCAACGCCAGCTGAAATTGAACTGAGCGTGTCTCGTTCTCGTAGTCGCGACGGTGCCGCCGCTTCTGTGCTGCAGGAGAATGTGTGTGTGTGTGTGCACGCGCGTATTTACTGAGCGTGCCCTTGCTTGGTGCTCGCGACGCCGCCGCCACCTCGTCGTTGGGGGAAACGTGCGCGCGTACTTGTGAGGTTGTTTCTCTCGATGTCTGCACTGTCACATGTATTCGCGTATGCCGAACGTAGAGTGCATGCGCGTTTGCATTCGTGCGTGGTTGCTGGCACACGTCGTACCTGCCGTTCTTGCGTGTTCGACCCCCTCGACCGCACAGCCGTTCGTGCGAGTAGCAACGGGCCTGTGACCAGGCGAATGTTGGCCAGAGTCACTTGCAGATCGCTTGGTTCATGCATGTCAGCAGGCAGACTGCAAAGGTTGTGGGCCTTGTTCTGGTCGGTTAGTTGTTTCATTCCGCCAGTTTGCCAACGACCGCGCGTTCTGACCCAGTCCGAACAATTGTCATCATTGCTTCGTTTTTTTGTCGGGTGCTAAGGGCAATGTTGAGACTGTCAGAGATGTGTTACTGTATGCTGCCTGCGCATCCCAGCACGTCGAGTTGGGCGAGTGGCTACCCCTGGAGGCGCATTTTGCATTACGATTGAGCTGCATATCGGTCGCGATGGCTGGGGGGGACGTTGAGGATTGTATTTTCCAGGTGAGGGAAGCCTGCAGCATGAAAGCATTTCCTTCATGGCAGAGTAGAACTATATGTATGCACATGTTCACCTCTCCGCTACCTTTGCACATGCATAACCACCCGTAAACAGATCAATGGGTATGGAGGAGTTCTCTTGTGAGGTCACGCGGTCATGTACAGCCATA